AGCGAATATCCAGAATAAGGCTGATTAAGTTGAGTTTGGATGAAATCAGTACATCCCTTCGAGAGTTATCGTGTGCACCAGCCGGCCAGACAGACATATCTATCTATACTAATAAAAGAGTACAGTGATTGACTGACTGACTTAACGATTCATCAACGCCCAGACGAAACGGCGAAGGTAGAGTATTGAAATTTTGAGTGAGGATCACTCTTGGTCCAAAGGTGACAGATAAGTCTGGGTTTTTGGAAATTTGTACTAGAGAACGGTACGAAAAGTACTTAATGTGATACCATTTGTATTTGGCGAACCGGTAGAGCTAGAACTCTTAAAATTTAAATGAGGGTCACTGATGGAGTGTAGAATAGATATTGCAAATGGTTTTAAGAATTCAAAAAGAACTAAAATGTACTACATTTGGTACAATTTCGTAGCATGTGAATGGATAGAGCTAAAAACTTAAAATTTGGAATGCGAATTAGGATTGAGATGTAGGCTGTATTTAAGGTTATGGTTTTGAAAGGCTGTAAGAAGTGTATGTGTACGAAAAGTACTATATTTGGTACAAATTTAATTTGGAGATACAAATCGAGCTGGAATATGAAATTTCAAATTAACATTACCGTCGCAGTGTAGGATTTGGATATGTACGTAGTATTGGAAATTTGTTAATTATGTGTACAAAAAGTACTAAATCGTACTATAATTGGTACAATTTGGATTTGGGTGAACCGATAGAGCGGGAACAATGAAATTTGGAGTCAAAATCACTGTAGGGGTGTAGAATTGGGATCAGCATTCAGTTTAAGCAATTTATATTCATGGGTACTAAATGGCACTAAATTTTTTTTTGGAAATTTGGATTTGGATAAACCGATAGAGCGGAAGCAATGAAATTGAAATTGTAGGGCTGTAGGATTGGGGTCAGGATTCAGTTTAAGCAATTTATATACATGGGTACTAAATGGTACTAAATTTGGTACAATTTGAATTTCCGGCGAACCAAAAGAGCTTGAATAATGAAATTTGGAGTCATGATCACTGTTGAGGTGTATGATCGAGATATGTAGGAAGTTTTGGAAATTCGTACTACTGTGTACTAAATTTTGAACAATTTGAATTGTGGGTGGACCGATAGAGTTGGAATCCTGAAACTTGGATTTAGGACCACTGTGGAGGTGTAGCATTAGGGTATGTAGGAAGTTTTAGAAATTTGTACTAATGAATACTAAATTTTTTACAATTTAAATTGTGGGGGAATCAATAGAGTTGGATTCCTGAAACTTGGATTTAGGATCACTGTGGGAGTGTAGGATTGGGGTATGTAGGATGTTTTGGAAATTGGTACTACTATGTACTAAATTTGGTACAATTTGAATTGTGGTTGAACCGATAGAATTGTAATCGCGAAACTTTTAGTTAGGATCACAGTGGGGGTGTAGGTTTGGGTTAAATAGGAAGTTTTGGATATTTGTACTGCTGTGTACTATATTTGGTAGAATTTTAATTGTGGATGAACCGATATATTTGGAATTCTGAAACTTGTATTTAGGATAACTGTGGGGATGTGGGTTTGGGTTCAGTTGGAAGTATTGGAAATGTAAAAACATGTTTGTTAAAACATGATTAAATATTTTCGACATTCGCTTACGATGTATATATATATATACATATATAATCGATAGTCTTAACATTTGGCATGTAAATAGTCTCAACTTTGGAAGACCATAGACTAGAGAAGTTGCCAGTGAATGAGAGAACGAAGGTCGACTCGATTCTATTGGTATAAGAGGATAGATATGACGTGTTGCCAGACTATGGATTTAGCTTCAGAGTATGTTCAAGTTCAGTGGAACAGTCGAAATAATTTATAACAACGTTCAAGGGACAGGCGGAATTGATCGCTATAAGCAATAATCGTTTTATAAGATATGAAATAAGGGACAAAACTTGTTTTTGGGTTTTCTGGATACTCTCGTTATATCTGTTATGTCGCTAAAAATGGTGTTAATATTAACGAATTCGAATGTCGTATGATCTGACCTGGACGAATATACTACTCCTCTTACTGGAAATATACATTTTTAATATTTGTCCGTATTTGATTTTTTAACAAAATTTGAAATGGAGTTAATCAGACGGACACATAAAAACCGAGTAAAAATATGCAATGCAATGATAAATAGAGGTTATGGGTCTATCTAGTCTCATATGTATACATTTTGTAACTCAAAGAAAAACCAGTGAGCGGAGCAGTATAGTCGGACGGGGCCGACCATGCGATACCCTACACAACTACCACGAACTCTAACTTTCTGAGGATGTTTATTCCGAGTCTGAGTAATATTTCGTGATATTTGCCCCCTCTTGTCCGATTAGAGGTTAACAACACCTCTTCTTTACTTTTTCGAATATTCAGTACAGTCCTTCTAATTACTTGTCCAGATTACCTTCACGGTGGGTTGTGTTGTGATTTTCGGATTATACTCTACTCGAAAACACACAAAAAATTATGTTTTCGGTCCATTTCATCCCAAAATTTTAATCTGATCATCACGGAAAATTGTAGGCGTTGTTCTTGACCATAACTGGAACTTCATGAAAAATTTCAAAGCCATCAGCGCGATATTTCTCCCTCTAATGTGGTAATGGGTTACTAAATAATATCTGAATACGTAAGCACCTGTAAATATTTGACTGTAACTCCCACATCTGAGTAGATACATCACTATATTTGGTATCAATTTAAAGGCCAACCACTCCTCTTGGATATGCTATCAACTCCTGGGGTCTACATCCTCCAGGAGTAAATATATATGCCATAGAATACAAATTTTGTCATTTTTCACACAAAAGTCAGGGTCCATTTGACCCGCTAAATATTGACCGATCTTTATCAAAACATGCATGCTTATTCTCTGGCCCGATCCCCTTCTCCATGCAAAAATTCGCGGTGTTTTGGCCATAATTGCGGCCTCTGGAGCGTCCAGAAAAACCGACAAAAATTTAGTATTTGGTCCATTTCATCCCCTAAATATTAACCAACTTTTTCCAAAAACAAGAGGGGTCTTCATTGGCCAGAACCCATCCTACATGCAAAATTTCGTGAAGATTGGTCCATAACTGTGGCCTGTATCGTGTTTACAAATTATAATGGACAGACGGACGGACGGACGGACGGACACACATGTCTAGATCGACTCAGCTAGTCGAGATATGACGATCGGTATACTTAAAGGTGGGTCTAGGACCAATATTTCGCGGCGTTACAAACATTTGGGGCTGCACAAAGCTATAATACCCTGACAACATAGTTGTGTAGGGTATAAACAGTGAGCGGAGCAGTATAGTCGGACGGGGCCGACCATACGATACCCTACACAACTACCACGAACTCTAACTTTCTGAGGATGTTTATTCCGAGTCTGAGTAATATTTCATGATATTTGCCCCCTCTTGTCCGATTAGAGGTTAACAACACCTCTTCCTTACTTTTTTCGAATATTCAGTACAGTCCTTCTAATTACTTGTCCAGATTACCTTCACGGTGGGTGTGTTGTGATTTTCGGATTATGCTCTACTCGAAAACACACAAATAATTATGTTTTCGGTCCATTTCATCCCAAAATTTTAATCTGATCATCACCGAAAATTGTAGGCGTTGTTCTTGACCATAACTGGAACTTCATGAAAAATTTCAAAGCCATCAGCGCGATATTTCTCCCTCTAATGTGGTAATGGGTTACTAAATAATATCTGAATACATAAGCACCTGTAAATATTTGACTGTAACTCCCACATCTGAGTAGATACATCACTATATTTGGTATCAATTTAAAGGCCAACCACTCCTCTTGGATATGCTATCAACTCCTGGGGTCTACATCCTCCAGGAGTAAATATATATGCCATAGAATACAAATTTTGTCATTTTTCACACAAAAGTCAGGGTCCATTTGACCCGCTAAATATTGACCAATCTTTATCAAAACATGCATGCTTATTCTCTGGCCCGATCCCCTTCTCCATGCAAAAATTCGCGGTGTTTGGGCCATAATTGCGGCCTCTGCAGCGACCAGAAAAACCGACAAAAATTTAGTATTTGGTCCATTTCATCCCCTAAATATTAACCAATCTTTTCCAGAAACAATAGGGGTCTTCATTGGCCAGAACCCATCCTACATGCAAAATTTCGTGAAGATTGGTCCATAACTGTGGCCTGTATCGTGTTTACAAATTATAATGGACAGACGGACGGACGGACGGACGGACACACATGTCTAGATCGACTCAGCTAGTCGAGATATGACGATCGGTATACTTAAAGGTGGGTCTAGGACCAATATTTCGCGGCGTTACAAACATTTGGGGCTGCACAAAGCTATAATACCCTGACAACATAGTTGTGTAGGGTATAAAAATAAATATATCCATCATCAAAAACCATCGCTTAGTATCGAAGAATGATATTTCCTAAAGACAGTACTGACTTTTAGAAAGGAGTCATCGAACAGCATCTAAGGATCCGTCATTCCAAAATGGTTATTGTATGTCAATTGAATGTAATTGGTTTACGATCAGCACGTAAAGCACAGAGTAATCCTCATTTTTGAGTTCATTTCCATCCCTAATGCATCTAAATACACAAAACATTACGAAACATTAAATTATCCTAAACAAAACTAAACAAAGAACAGACATCTATCCTCCTCACAATTAACTTAATTTAAATATACATATAAACTTTTAAACTAAAAAAGTTAAGCTTATAACGTTCTTATAACCTGAGATCACATTCTTAGAATATTATACACAAAAGATGCAGAGAGAAGACGTAGAAGAAAGGGACATCATATAATCTCCTCAAGAAAAGACGGAAGCATAAGAAATGCATTTCATCATACATCACGGCATATATCATTTGTCGATATTATACTTTCCATAAATTCATCTTCCCGTGGTTCATCCGGCTGCATTTCCTGCTCCTCCTCCACGGCCGAATACTATGAATTTTGATTACGTTGTATCACCACCCAACTATCATCAGTTACTAAATCGCCATTGGCATTTGTATCGGAACCACCGGGTACATTATCTTCGGGTGGTTGGGAGGAGGAACGCATAGTGTCCCAATGCTGTTTGAGATTGTTGTATAATTCAAATAGTTCTTGCTGGAAATTCAAAAAAAAAAGGAAAAACAATATTTTATTATATACCAATATTATAAATTTTAACAATTTAGTTGACACTTACCTTCTCTTTGATTTTCTTTAGCAGTTCCTGTTTCTCTTGCCTCTCGCCTGGATCCATTTGCATTAGAATCCGCTCTTTGATATCCTGAGCATAGTATAATTTCGTATTGACTTTCAGATATTCCATTGCCAGTCGCCGATGTTCTTTAAATATTTCCTGTGATTCGGCATTATCTGGTATTGGTTGTTCCGGTTGTAGTTCAGGATCTAAGAGCACCTCTAGTGGTTGACCATTTTCATCATCTTCATCTAGATCGGTGTCATTCGAATCAATGGGTAAATTATTGGCATTGGTGATTTGATCGACAGATTTTATAATCGGTTTCGCTTCGGTAACCATTATACGTTCTTTACCATCACTTTTTGCTGGAAATAGACAAGAAAACAAAAGGAAAAAATGACAAATATTAATATGGTACTAAATTTCTAATAATTGGTTCAATATATAAGTTCTAACTTATTAGACAATATCAATATCAGGACTATTAACTTATATATTTATATATGTGAACTATGTATATCTATATCAGAAAGTGGGTTATGTCTAATGAGGATATACACTGGTGGCCAAAACTAAAGCAACTAAAATTGTAAGGTTAATAAATGACGCATACAATTTTCAAAAATAAAGATATCGTGTTAATTTTTCAGTTTTAAATCTGCTACTTTTTTCACTTTTAAAAGCGTAAAAAAACTAAAAGTTGCTTTAGTTTTGACCAAGCAAAAAGTGGGTCAACTTACTAAAAAAATTCGTTCTTTAAAAATGTTTTTTAATGAATAAATAAGCTATTTATTTTTGAAAAAACTTTCACTATAAATCTATTTTCAAAAAAGTTACAGCTCATTTATTCAGTTTGCAATCGTAGTTGCTTTAGTTTTGGCCACCAGTGTATATATGTGAACCGAAAATATTAGACCCTCATCCTTATGTGAAATGACGGCAAAAATGCGCTTCATCGAAATATGGGTTGTATGGGTTTCGTTGGAACGATTCCGTTTCAGTTTACAAATGTCCGCCCGTGTGTCCGCCGATAAGTGATCGAAACTTGTCAAGTTGTAAATTTCATATGAATTCTAAGGGGAATCCAATTCCATCACACAAAGTATCAACATTTTCAAAATTTTTAAATCCGAAATATTTTTAACAAATCTAGAAGACCTGCAAAGATGGGACCCAAGATAAAAAAATAATGGAACCCATGTCAGGTTTGATCTAAACTTTGCAAATCTTATTTTTGAAAACCTCAAATCAATTCCAAAGATGGGAACCATTGGTTCAAAACTTCTGCTACCTCCCCACATTAAGTTTGAATTACTGTCAACAGATAAAGTAAAGTACTGGAATGTGTAATTTTTGAGCAATTTATGAAGAAAATCGATCTAGAAAAGTCGAAAATGCGATTTCCTCAAAGATCAAAAGTAGACTTCGACTTTTCAATACAAAATTTTGTAAATCTGATATCAATCAAATGAATGAAGGGTCCCCGAATTGATCCAAAGTGTGCTCATCGTAATATTTTTTACCAAACCTCCACTATATATCCGAAGTTGGGGTTATCATGGTGAATCGTGTGTATACACTTAGCAGACCGTAATATTTATACTAACCATAGATTTAGTGCAACCATCGGTTATGTAGGACCATAATCTCTGATACCACCCCTCACAAACTGTCAGAATTTTACAAAATTATAAATTTAGAACAAAAATCGTTCCACCTCGACACTAGGCTGTTATACAAGTTTGAAATAAATTAAAAGCAAAATATCGAAATCTAAACCGATTTCATCGAAACTCGTCACATGTTAGGTTACACTTATTTCAGTATGTTTTGTGCATTCGGCCACATTTTGAGTTCTTCATATACTTATAAATTCAAATTTCGTGCAAATCGAAGGATATATAGGGACTTTGGTGCACCATTTACATAAAATCGGACGAAAATATATATGGGAGCTATATTCACGAAATTTAACAAACATCATTCTAGACATAATTCAGTACGTTATGCAAAATATCGTACAAATCTATGGATATATAGTGACTTTGGTGCACCATTTGCATAAAATCGGACGAAAATATATGTGGGAGTTATATCTAAATCTGAACCGATTTTCACGAAATTTAACATACATATTTCTAGATTTAATTCAGTACGCTGTGCCAAATTTCGTGCAAATCGAAGGATATATAGGGACATGGGTGCACTATTTACCTAAAATCGGACGAAAATATATATGGGACCTATATCTAAATCTGAACCGATTTTCACGAAATTTAACGCACATCTTTCTAGACTTAATTCAGTACGATATGCCAAATTTCGTGAAAATCTAAAGATATATAAGGACTTTGATGCACCATTTACATAAAATCGAACGAAACTATATACGGGAGCTATATCTAAATCTGAACCCATTTTCACTAAATTTAACACACATCGTTCTAGACTTAATTCAGAACGCTATGCTAAATTTCGTGCAAATCGATGGACGAAATATGGGACGAAAATATATATGGGAGCTATATCTAAATCTGAACCGATTTTTACGAAATTTAACGCACATCTTTCTAGACTTAATTCAGTACGATATGTCAAATTTCGTCCAAATCTAAGGATACATAGGGACTTTGGTGCACCATTTACATAAAATCGGACGAAAATATATATGGGAGCTATATCTAAATCTGAACCGATTTTCACTCAATTTAACACACATCGTTCTAGATTTAATTCAGTACTCTATGCCAAATTTCGTACAAATCGAAACATATATAGGGACTTTGGTACACAATTTACCTTAAATCGGACGAAAATATATATGGGAGCTATATCTAAATCTGAACCGATTATTCGCATTTTCAATAGGGTTCGTCCTTGGGCCAATTAAGTGACGTGTGCCAAATTTCATCCAAATCGGACGGACAGACGCATGTCCGTCTGGCATAAATCGACTCAGAAAGTGATTCTATGCATATTCTCAAAAGGAACCATGGGTCTATTATTTTTGCCGTCTTATTATTATTCTCCTTCCCATTTCATATAGCCGCACACATTGTTTATATTTTTAATAGATTTGACCTAGTCTTTCGCATTCATGCAACATTTTATGAGTCAGTCGGCAATTGTTGCATGTAGTAAGTTGAGCAATAGCAAATTAATTTGATTGTAAGAAAATTCGGACAAAAAAATGGGATCATTATAAATTACCGGAATCAAGTAAACAAACAATAATAATTAGAATAAGAAGAAGAACAACAAGAATAGAATGCGAAGAAAAGCGTAATCCTTCCTTACTATAAATAAACCAGCAGCTGTGTAAATCCGTTTGTTTCAATGGCGCAATCACTGCCGTTGTCGAAGAATCACACATTTCCGAAAATCATTTGAAAAAAAAACACACACATATACACCAATTTTGTTGATATTAGAACACCGAGAGGGAGAGTACACTTTATTTTCACGTTCATTAGCTTTATTTAGCAAATTGGTTTGGGACACAGGTGATCATCTATGGTCATCATTTGCCAGCAATAACAATTACAATTGTGCCACAAATAATACACACATATGTTATTAATTATTAAAATACAATTCAAAATGTTTTGATTTTTGTTTTTGGTAATTTAAAAATAGTTTTAAAATTCAATTTTAAATAAATTTCGTTTCTTGGAATTTACAAACATAAAATAACCACTTAGTTTTTTGAAAGAGTTTTTCCCCGTTTTTGCATTTTTTCTAAATAATATTTTATTTGTTGTTCTTTTGTCTATTATGTTCTGAATTGAATTGGTATTGATTGTTGTTATAAACAATTAGTTTGTTATTTTTTTATGGATTTTTGTTTTTTTGCATATTTATTGTCTTTATAATTTGTTTATTATTGTTACGTTTCTTCTTTCTAAATATTGCGTATGTTTTGTTAACCAATTTTTTTTTCTTTTGGTTCATTCACGTTACGAGCCGCAGTCGATCGCGTCAATGTGTGAGCTCCAACTGATTTTACTAACCAATTCCGAACCCATATTCAAGTATATAACATTAAAATTACAAATATTCGTGAAAATATAATCGATTTATGGTGGGAGCGTTTAGAGCGTTCTTATATACAGTGGTAGCCAAAACATATGCAACAAATATTAGTTTTTTAAGAAGTTCTCTAAAAAATATTTTCTAAAGGAAACAAATGGAACTTTTTATACATTTTTTACTTCTTTTTATTGGTTAACAGAAAATAAAATTGAATCCATACTTATAACAAAGAAAACATAGAAAATTTATAGATATTTAATATAATCTAATATTTGGTTGGTCAAAACATATGCAACCAATCATTTCGTCAAATTGTTTGTGCAAGAATCTTAATATTTTGTAGCAAATCCCTTATTTTTAATAACAGCCTGACATCGGCGATGCATGGACGATAAAAAGTTGTTAATAAAATATTGAGGAATCGAGGCCTCTTCCAACCTGTTGTACAAAATATTCGAATTTGTACAATTTTCACGATTGATTCTTCGATTTACGATTTCCCAAACGTTCTGCAACGTTATTTTGTGCTAACCACGATTTAACAACTCTTGAAGAGTGTTTGGGATCGTTGTCGTGCTGCAATATCCATCGCAATGGCATCCATACTTTGTACGTTTCCAATATTCTATTCTATTCCATTAATTCTATGCAATGGACCAATATCCTTCTCTTCACTTCCATGTAATTCATTAGGTGGTCGCCGTACATAACACACACCATTACGCTGCCTTCTCCATGCTTCACTGTCTTTGTACCGCTTATTAACATAACACATACCATAGCTACCAAATATGTTAATTTGGAATCGTCGCTTAACAATACAGTTCTCCATTTCATTTCTGTTCAATGTAAATGCTCCTTTGCGAACTGCAAACGCTTTTTTGATTACGTATGGAATATAGAGGTTTTTGCTGGCTGGCGTGCAGGAAGGGAGACGTCATTTAGACGTCTACGAATAGTTCGATCAGAAATTTGTATTGGGAGTGTTGCAGCAATTTTTGAGGATGTGATAAAAGGATCTTTTTTCACTTTTTGGATTATAAAATTGTCCATACGACGAGTTGTTTTACGAGGTCGACCTCCGCGGTATTGTACCGTAACATCCGAATTCTTTTAAAAATTAGCAATAATGCGAGAAACCGAACTTTTATGCACCTTGTAATTTAGTGATATGTTTTTTTGTGACATCCCTTCGGAAAAATCGGCCACAATACGCTTTCTTAGCTCGATTCCGAACAGCAATACGTACTCGTACTAGTTG